ATAAACATACCCCCCGGAATAAACACTACCCCCGGACAAATCTTCAAAGTCTAATATACATACCCTCCGGAATAAACGTACCCCCGGAAAATGACCAAATTGACAGGTGAACGGTACTAAAATGTGCTCTTTATTTCAATACCAATGTATGGGCAAATCTTTCACTGTTACTTTTGATTAGGAATATAAATATACTGTACTAGTACTCAACAAACAGTGTCGACATTACAGCCATATTACACCACTAGCAATAGGGGTGGGTACCTGTTCGGCTCTTCCAGGTCCAGAGGATCAGGTCCAGGTCCGGACCTGTACCTGTACCTGATTCTGAATACCGGAGTTTCAGTACCGTAATTTTTTTTGCTAAATGATCATTGCTAAATACAATATAACGTTAAGTATATGTAACCACTACAATTAATTTTCTATTTTATTTTATTTTTTTATTTTTATTTATTTTTTATTTATTTTCATTTTATTTTTTATTCTGTTTTATTCTATTTTATTTTATTTCATTTAATTTTATTCTATTTTATCCGTTCTATGCATTATCAAACTTCTCCTCTACTGCTAGAGCTACTAAAACTTCAGACCGAATATATTAAACATTTTAATTCGCCCCCTCTAGCGGTTTGGGCCAAATTGCAGCTTTCCAAAAAATCCAAGATGGCGGCGGCAGATCGGGGCGCGGCTCGGCGATTGCCGATTTCATTGTATTTTCCTTGGTCTTTTACGCGATTCAAGCAAAGAAAACAAGTTGACCACAAGAACAAAAGAGTAATACAGCACTGGGAATCTAATGGTCCGTTTTGTTGGGCGGTAATTTCTCATTTCAAGTGAATATTTACTTGCGTCACAGTGATTTATTCACCAATCAAAAGCGACATCTTGCGACTTAAGCAAATATGGAAGGTTAATGTACATAATTTATGTCATTGATTTATTGGTCCAATTACAGCAGCTATTAGCGAAATTCTAGAACATTAAATGCATACTATGATATAAAACAATGGTTTTGTGGTAAACATCATTTCCTCTTTTTTAGCAACTTCGTTGTATCAGAATAACGACACTATCATCCGGTAGGTCGACACCACAAAGTAAAGTATACATGCAGAGTAATTGGTTTCATTGGGTTTTTTTTCACGGTCGAAATCAAGATTTATCCATCCATTCAACGTACATATTTTGGAGCACAATATCTCGGCCGCTGCAGGCGGCCGAGATAAAAATGTAACGATCATTCCTCCACAACCTCTGCTTGGAGATTAATTTGGCCGGCCCTTCTCTGCGGAAGACTTACATGCCCTTCCCCCAGCTGCGCACCAGATCCCCCGTGCTGGGGTCCAGCTCCACCACGGTGTCCGTCTGGATCGGGCCCAGGTCCTGCTGCTGATACACGTTCTCGTCATCAAACGAGCTGAAACGCAAAAGACGTACGTTTCAAGTCTTTTTTAGAGCCCAGCTTTCAGTGCAAATATTGACCAGGTAATCTCTTGAGAACATTTCACACACTGTCTTCGGGAGTGCTTCTATCCCAATCCATGAGGGTCAAGTCCGCACAGTGGTATCAGAAATAACCAATTTTACTTTATGAAATAAATAAACCCCTTTATCATTATTTTTGTTTGACTTAAGTTATGTAGATTACTATTATATTTGCATTTTCGTAAGCCGTGCTCACGTGCATACCTCGTCACCATCCGTTTAGCAACCCTACATCAATGTGTCGATCAATTACAACAAGGTAGTGTCTACGTGAAGTTCAACGCATATCGAGACCCTGTGGCCTAATGGATAAGGCGTCCGCCTCCGGAGCGGGAGATTGTGGGTTCGAGTCCCATCAGGGTCGTTTGACAGAGGCATTATTGTATTTTTAGAAATTTGTGAGTAATGTCGAGATTCAAAGTGCTTGTTCTTGTATCTCTGTTCTCAATCACATAGCTGCTACATAATTCATTTATTTGAGAATCTTCCAGTTTTGCACTGGAGTAAGTTTGGGAGGGAGACGGCCTGAAATATGCTGTATTTGCTCCCAAGCAAATGTCGGCCTTTCTAGGTTTTTGCTGTCTCACCTGTCGTCCCAGACCCTGTCACCCCTGTGGAACACGTGGACGTGTCCAGCCGGACACACGGCCACTCCGGACACCTGACCCAGGCCCAGGTTCTGGGCAGGCCAGTCCTCAACAACCTGTAGAGAACTGTCCTCCATTCCACTGCAGAAAAACACACCAACTGTATCACGAAGAGCGCTTGGTGCTTAACTTAATATTATAACTTGCTTTTCATAGAAATTTCTTTATGGGGATTCAGAACTCTAATCCATCGTTTACCTTTCAATAATACCATTAATAGCAGTATTGTCAAATACTAGTAATAGTATGTACTGCAGCCTAATAAACAGTCAATAAACATAAAGGAGAAATCAAAATAAAGATCACTGAAGGATATGATTCAATCTAACTTACGATCAAAAATAAGTAAGACACTACCTACCGTTCAGCTATTGACTGGGCATCCACTTTATTTTTATCTTCCTGAACGTTTTCCTCCTCTTCACTCTCTTCTTCTCCATCTATGAGAGGGTACAAAAGTCAGAACACACGATCAGTCATAGGGAAGCACGAAAGAAAGTGAAAAGGGGACAAAAGAGGAATTGTTCATTTCATAAGGAAATGGCGACAAAAACAGCCGTGAAAACAGCGTATCAGATGTAGAGCGCTGTAGACATGATTAATAATGTTCTCCCTCTGGGACAGACTGAATCCACACATATCCATTACAACCTGACCTAAGGGCCATGCGGAAACACAGACACACACACGGACACACACACACAGGCAGACCATAAACAATACCTCCATAGGGACATGAAAATTAAAACACATTGACAGGGGGAATGATAGAGTGCAGCCAGGGGAACACGGAGAAGACATTCGGGGGTTAGGACATTAGAAAAAACTTTGTATTTCAGAAATGTACCGTCGGTGAACCGCATGGCCAGAACGACAGTGTTGATGTCTCCTGGGCCGATCTCTACATCCTCCTCCTCCATCATACTGGTCTGTCCCGGGCCGGCCTCCCGCTCCTTCTCCCAGTTAAACACCGTCCCCAGCACCGGGCCAGCGCACACCGTGTCAGGCCGGCTCGGCTCGCAAATCCTGGGCAACATACGGTGTTAGTTACCCTGGAAGCCAGAACTCGTTTTCCGGGCCGCAAGAGCCCTTCGCCCGCTGGTGTAAATTGGCGCTACAGGGGAGTCTAGCTCGGGGGGAGTTTGGCTTGGCTGGCCCTACATCGAAACCTCCCCACGGGCTCAATTCCACCGCAGCGGTAATTTAGGTCTGCGGGCGAAGGGCTTCTGGCTGCCGAAAGAAACGGCCAGGGCCCTGGAAACGGCTAGCGGCCCGTTAACTTGGCTGGCACCCAGGGTAGGTGTTAGTAGGTGTTATAGAAATAGATATCCTTAAACCTTAAAGGCATGGCGGCAAAACAAAACTTCTGGATGAGGGAATCTCTGATATTGACAATTGACAATTACTGACATTTCTTAGCACATTTTCGTCTTAATTTCATACCCGTGAGGAGTCCCTTTATTTTTGGGTACCACCCATAAATAGCTGGAACCTACGATTCAAAACAAGTAACCGTTTTCTGACAGTGACAATGTATTTTTGCCTCACAGATGTCAGTATGCCCCGGGATAGGATTACAACAGTAAAAGAATGACCAGTAAATTGACTTTGAAAATCATGGGGATGACCTTTACAACTATAAAAAGTTCGTCCACCAGTAAGGTCTAAGTCTACAAATTAAAAAGGTGTCATATGATTTTGTCTTTACTTGCTGGTAGACTGTTCATCACAGTTTACATGTAGCTCAGGTCTATCCGTATTAGATATAAACCCATAATACAATTTGGAATACAATGTCTACACTGTTACATGAATAGGCCCTTACCACGTGGTCTGTGAGGACGCCGGCTGCTCACAACCGTAGCCGATGATTCGGTCGATCCTGTCCCCTTCTGTACCTGAAGCTGTATAGACGTAAAATATCAGATCAGTGTCACAGCAAAGGTGGTCATGACTGACTGGGGAACAGTAAATTATACCCATGGCTGTACGCCACAGTAGACGTTTGGGGCCCCATAGTCATGCAGTAATGATATTCCTTCCTCCATTTCCTTCACTTCATCAATTTCACATATACAACCCTGCATATTATAACTTTAGATTATTTCTGCAATTTTAACATGAAGGAAACATTGAATCAACTGTTTGTATATTGAATTATTGTATTTTTAACGTGTGGTAATTTTTAATTTAACCTAGATATGTAGATGCTTCCCAATTCAGCCAAATATGGCTGCTTACAGGCTTTTGTGTGTACTTTTTGTAAGGCACAAATAAACCAGTCTCTCTCTCTTTCTCTCATTTGCAAGGGAGACGGTCTTACATTTCTGGGTACTGTTTCTATTACATCGCCTGCCGTGCAGAAAGTCTTTACAGTAACGACCTTTCAGCTATATTGTCATCTTTAGGCCCGCAATCATAACATAACATAGCATGTTTTACACTTCGACAATCGAAACGGCACAATTACATGTGCACAGTTATGTCTTTTACTATACTCAGTTTGAAACAACAATTACACGTGAATTAGTGAACGAATCAGATCCTGATTAACGTGCCGTCATTTCGTTCATTCATCATACATTGTCAAGTTCTCTAGTTTTAGCATGGAGGTAGAAGAGCTACCTCCATGATTTTAGATATAGATAGCAAACGAAATTTCATATTCCTCATGCAACTCGATAATCTGTGTTTTATAAGCTCCATTTGGTCTTACACGTACAGCTGTCTAACAACTATTTTAAGAAGATAGAAGAAGTTGAACCTCTACATATTGGCATTATATGCCATAGATGTTGTAATAATGTAAGATATCAAACTTCTATCACTGTTTGTACATAGAACTAAGGCTTATAGACCTTTACCACCATGATCTGTACGCTGCTTGTAATGGCATGAATGTACAGGTAAGTTCTTTCAATCATTCATCAAGCTTGTGTGCTCATTCTGCGTGTTGATGTCTCTACGTGTATATTATTAAAACTATAAGAATCATTTGTTGTTATGCATGTGGTTTCAGTTATTTTGTTCTTTGTGCCATGCTTTCTTTTGTGTGAATTATTGAAACAATAAAAATAATGATTTATAAAAAAAAAAAGAATCAGCTGTCACAAATTACGAATCGAATCAGGAAGACATAACCGCAGTCCTCTAGAACAAAGAACCTGTCAATTCTGTAGTTTAGGCCAAATAGAAGATGAAATATATTTCACCGTAGATTGCCCCTTGTATAGTAGAGATAGACTCATTTTTTTAGCCATGTATTAAGTATATTTCCCCACTTCAAATATTTGACTAGTAAAGAGAAATTTGTATTCCTTTTAATTTTTGATAAACCTACTCTAAGTAATTTCACACTGACAGCCGCATATATTCATACAATCACTACTAAGCGAGATGAAGCCGAAAAGAATAGAAATTAGACATTTATTTACACTCTTATATGTTCATATGTATGTAATGTATATATGTTTATGTTCATGTTCTGTACCCATGCGACCTGTACTTAGTTCTGTAGAACACAAATGTACAACAAGGGTCTTCATTCATTTATTATTTTCTTACCTATCAAATTCTCCACCCTCCATGACTTCAGAGTGGTACACACGAACGGTCCCTGTGGGAATATGGCAATAACATGTAAATTGATACACATCTTACGTGGTGAATAATGTATATCTACCGGGGGTAATCTAATGATCGTGTCAAGAGAGCTAATGTAGCGGGCGAAAATTCACGTCGCCATCGTGGGACGATCCATTAACAAACTGGAGACGGGGTCGCGTTGACATGATATTCCGCGAGTTTTTGTAAAGGCCCAGTAAGCCTATACATTTTGAGAAATTATACATTTATGTAGAAAACACAACGAAACATCTACCCCCATCCTTTTTTCTGGGTAGAGAACATGTAAAAAATGTCTAGCCCCACCCCCTGCTGTTGTTAGCGGTCTGTCCCGTAATTGCCAGGAAATGTGAATCTTGTAGAAGCCGTGTTCCAGTATGTTTCATGTATGAAGCGGCTGTGGCATGGGTGCGGGGGCGGCGCAGGATGTATTCTCCCTGCCAGCGCTGACGCAAACAGAAACGACATTTTGATAACACTCCAATTCATTTTTCAGACAGGTTCAATTCGATCACCTAGTCATGTTCGGGAATATATCATGAAAAAAAAACATTGCATGTGATGTAAATTTTCGTCTGAAGTTCATTTCAGGTCGCTGCAATGAGCAGATTTTCGGCATGTGTGTCCTGACAGCGCTCACATTCACTCTGAGGGTGTACAAAACGTGCGCTGGTTTCTTATGAATAATAGCTACGAGTAATAGCTTACACACAAGTAGAAGCTTGTCCCACGCAAGAAGGTTCTACCTCCTTGGTCCCATATAATGTCCTTGCTTAATGATTGTCCTCACAAGTTCAGCAAAAATCTGTCTACAAGCAGAGGTTTGGGTTTTGGGGGTATTTTTAGCGTGTTTTTAGGCTTTTTTTATCGGGGTTTCTCTTTTGCACTGAATTTTTTTCCCACCAAACCCAAGGTTTGCCCCTCCCCGAGGTGAGTGCCGGCAGAGGTTGGGTTTGGTGGGAAAAAAAATCAGTGCAAAAGAGAAACCCCGATAAAAAAAGGCCTAAAAACACGCTAAAAATACCTCTGCTTGGAGAGTATGTCTACAGTACATTAATTGTGACGGCTCGGGCATCGATAGGGTCACTTACATTGCAGATGGAGTTGTACTATGACTGTTCTATCTGATTATGGGTACTTGGCGCATAAAAGACGACAGTATATACCGGTATAACCACCAGATTGGTTCATGTTGAGTACGAACGTTGGAACCAGACTACGGACCAGCAAAAGAGGCGGCTTTAGGAGTTAATTCAATCGAAGGCAGGACCCTGCGTCTCCATAAAGAGAGTCGTGTTATCACATCTCACATCGCAGTACGGCCCGGGTGATAAATGGAGAGAATGGTCACGAAGCGAAACGAGCACCAAGCTCCGATAGCTAGAGACAGGCTATTCACGGAATACTCGAAAGACACGCCGTTAAAAACGATTCAAATCAATGGAAACAGCAACAATCTGACTGAAGCCTTGCTCAGGTGATATCGGGGATATTGAAAATAACGTCGTCTATCTGTTGAGCGCTACAATCTGCGTCATGGCGCTACAGACATTTGGCATTGATCGAGTGATATCAGAATGCTGTATTCAAACAGGTGGTCATGACTTGTTCGCGATATCCTTCATACATTCGCTCAACGCTCGCCTTTAAACATTTTATTAAAACATAAATTACAGTTTCTCACGTCACGATTTTTGAATAGGCCAACATCTGCCACAGTGTTTGCTAAACAACATGTCTCTCACTGCGTAAACAAAGTCAGCACCAAACACTCGTCTGTTTCACCCTTACCTGCGGAGGTCGCTGCCGCTCCAATTCCTCAAACGTTGCGTCGAATTTTTCCAGTAAATCTCGGGGCCACCAAGGGTTGTCCCACGCCGGGTAAGCCCAACATATGTTAGCGAAGGCGGTGAGACATATTCCCGTCAACACGGCCCGTACACCGGGCGCCATGGTTGAGACTACACAGCGCAGGTGCGAGTGCGTAGCCGCTTACGTACACTCCGGGCGGTACGTCAACGCGGGGGACGGGAGGAGCGTAATAAATTGTAGCCCGTCGTCATTTCCAAATAAAGCGTAATGGTGCTTTAATGTTCGCGACCATTTCCTCTCGTTTTTTCCAGTCACTGTTCCACGTAAGCTTTCGCGTCTGCGCAATTTTGTGATGTGGTTGAAATTCCGGTCCAACAACTTTTTAAGATTAAAAAAAAACAAAAAAACATCAGTAGTCTAACCGAACAACAGGCCTACAATGTAGATCAAAAGAAATCTTTTTAACAATTTGATTTTTACGTGGAGTAGATACTAGAATCCGCATTCGTATATCCAAGCTCGATGTGATTTCGGTTTATAACATGGATATACTGTATTCTAACTCCATGCTTATAGGATGGCGCTTAATGATTTTTATTTAGGTCACCCCAAATTACGCCTGAGTGAAGTCTTAACCATTTCAAATTAGTCGAATTACCATGTTCAGCATCAATCAGCAGCAAACACATAGTAAGGGTGCGGCAAGATTGCACTGTGACTATGATTGGTCTGTACAGTGCTGTAGTATTTTGCTGTTCCTATTATATATGGGATGTTTGTATACCTTAACATTGGTTACCTTCGCCAGAAGGTAATGTTTTAGTGGCGTTTTTATACACGTATGTATGTATGTATGTACGTATGTGTGGTTTAGCAGGATAACTCAAGAAGCTATGGATAGATTATCATGACACTTGGTAGGTGGATAGGTCTTTATGAGACCTCAAAATGATTTATCTAATTAGGATCACCTGGTGGCTTGTTATGATACTGCAGTGGAACTTCCGGTTTTGATATCTCGTGACCTGGACATGCTACTAGGGTCACGAATTTTAGATGCTAGATAGCTAGCTGTTGTGGTCGGAAAGAAATGCCCCCCTAGCGGCTTGTCCTGGTTCGAACGTATTCCTCTCATACATAACTCCACTTACTCTCCAAGCAGAGGTTTGGGTTTTGGCTTATTCTTGCCGTGTTTTTGGCCTTTTTTATGGGTTCACCACAAAGTGGTGAAACCATATTGCTTTTTCTCATGATTCTCCTCCTTCTTCTTCTCCTCCTGCCATTTCTTTAAATGGATTCAGCTTCTTCATTTTGAGGCCTAAGGACCTGAAATTTGGTATGGAGGTACAGTAGGCAAATACCCCCAGGCGTTTTTTTTATTTTTGTGATACAGGCTTTTAGAATGGTTTTATTTGAGTTTTTTGGCTGTGTTATAGCAAATGTATTACTGAGTTAGTGTGCAGTGTTACCACATTTGGGCATGAGTCATCACAATGGAATGCAGGGCATCAACCAATAGGCATGCAGCTTTCCTCTATTCTCCTTGCTGATTGGCTGTTGGAATTTAACAGGCTTAACTTAATTAATACCTGCACAGAGCCATTTCCATACTGACAGTAGGTCTGTATTCAAGTGTTTTGGTAGGTATTTTAAGCTTTCCTGCTCCAGCATTGGAATGCGGGGCATGAACGCTTCTTTTTTCTTGAAAATCAACAGTTTGCATTATGCAATTAAAAATCCTAACCAATAATGTAGGGAATAGCTATCCAACTGTTGTAGTCTTAGTTGTATGTTACTTCATACTATAGTTATATCAATGTAAAGCATTGTTACCTCCGGGTAGGGATGTACATCCCGAGCGCGGAGGTTTTGTGAGGGAAGACGAAAATTGCGTTCGCACCCGTTTCTCGCGTTTTGGGTGGACGGTATATGTCTGGGAGTTGGTATACGTTTTGCTGTTGGGCTGTAGATGGTGCACGTTGTTTGGTTTTTAGTATGTGTGTTTTAGTGCGTCAAAATGATGCGTTTAGACCGCCGATGGACACCCCTTTCAGTGTGAAAGTGGACCTCAGCTTTTGACCTTTGCATGTATAAGGACGATTGAGGTCGCGACCACTGATCTGACCTTTCACACAGAGGGGTGTCAGCATTGTCGATAAATTCTTTCTTTGAAACTGTTCAGATGTGAACCACATGTGCCGTCAATCAACGTCTCATTATCGTGCCCGTGCCGGAAACGCCGGCAGCCCTGCCACTGATATCTAAACAAACACATGGCGGCACGACCTGAATATATCACCGCCACTTGTGCTAACCGTGGCAAATATGTCGCTGTTCTTAGCTGCCTGCCGCGGTTTGGTACCGGTTAAATCTAACAGGAATCAATGAAACCTTGCTGATAAGATTGCGATTTGTTTTCGAAAATATTATTTTGTCTCGTGTTTGTAACGTTCGCTCAAAATGAGGTTCTAAGTTTTAACCGTAACATGAAAGATATGAACACGCTTCTGTGCATGTTTTGATGGTTTTTTTTACGTGATTTGAACTAGTGTGGGATAAGTGGGGAGGGATGGCAGCCGCGGGGGGAAGCGTAGCGGCTTGATACATTTTCGAGAGCAAGTTCCGTTCCGCGCACTGGAGTTGATCGCTGGTCGCTGAGGGTCGGGCAGCCAGATTCGCCACGGGATGCCCCCTGTCCTTTCTATTTTTGGGCTCCAGTCGGCTAGGGGGGATTAGTGATTTCACAGATCATTTAGCCAATTACAAACATTTCGAAACTTTTCGAAAAACTAAAACTGAAACTGTTTTTTATTCACATTGATTGGCAGCCAATATTCATTGCTTGGCTGAATTGCACAAGTGATTACATGTTAAAATAGCTTGAAAAGAGATACACATTAAAAAGCACAACATTGACGATTAAAATTAAATAGATTTAAAATTTTGTAGCTCAGGTCCATTTAAAACAGAGGCGGACTATTTACAAATCTTGATTGCTGAGGCTTATTGCCTGAAACAGAAAAGGTTTCCTCAGTCTTTCAGTTCTGAACTTCGGAACGGAGATGTGGTTTCCATTTCTCAGGGACCGCCGTGTGCTCTGGTGTCTGTCGCAGGGCATCAAAGAATGCAAAGTGTGGCTGACATGCCGCAATTTCTTGAGCAGAGTTTTTGCTGCAGTTTCCCGTCTGTCCTGGAGGGTGGAGAAGGGGGTTGTTTGAGTACTGTTGCCGTAGGATTCTCGCCGCCCTTCTCTGTACAGCCTCAAGAGTGTTGTTCTGTTTTGTGTTACAGCCCACGTACACGACATTTGCATACTCTAACACAGGTCGTATCAGAGTCGTATACACAGTTTCCAGGTCCTCTGGTGGCATCCCGCCCTTCTTGAGCATGCGGAGAAAGTGAAGACGGGTTGAGCCTTTCTTTGCCATGTGTAAGATTTGGCTGTCCCACCCAAGGCTGCGGTGACGTTTGAAGCCCAGATACGTGGCACATTCAACAACCGGGACTTCTTTGCCTCCAAGTGTGAGGGGAGGTGGAACAGGTGGATTTTTTGAAAAGCACAGTCTCAACTCATAGGACTTATCCCCGTTCATAATCATATTGTTCTTGTTCGCACAGGTGTCAAGTTGCGTAGCTTCCTCTTGCATAGTTGTGTCACGTGGTATTCGCGTGAACACACACACACCCAGACACCATTCACTAATTTAAAGAACAGTCCCAACATGCACCCAACATTCTGCAACATACATTACAATACCCGGAGGTACAAAATCTACGATTTTCCTTGTTTTCCCTTGTGTTTCTCATTCTTTCCCTGCCATGTCGTAAAATGTGGTGAAGCCATTGCTGTATTTGCTCCAAAGCAAATGTCGGCCTTTCTAGTTTTATCCGAGTTTCTTTTTTATGGGTTCACCACAAAGTGGTGAAACCATATTGCTTTTTCTCATGATTCTCCTCCTTCTTCTTCTCCTCCTGCCATTTCTTTAAATGGATTCAGCTTCTTCATTTTGGGGCCTAAGGACCTGAAATTTGGTATGGAGGTACAGTAGGCAAATACCCCCAGGCGTTTTTTTAATTTTTGTAATACAGGCTTTTACAATGGTTTTATTTGAGTTTTTTGGCTGTGTTATAGCAAATGTATTACTGAGTTAGTGTGCAGTGTTACCACATTTGGGCATGAGTCATCACAATGGAATGCAGGGCATCAACCAATAGGCATGCAGCTTTCCTCTATTCTCCTTGCTGATTGGCTGTTGGAATTTAACAGGCTTAACTTAATTAATACCTGCACAGAGCCATTCCATACTGACAGTAGGTCTGTATTCAAGTGTTTTGGTAGGTATTTTAAGCTTTCCTGCTCCAGCATTGGAATGCGGGGCATGAACGCTTCTTTTTTCTTGAAAATCAACAGTTTGCATTATGCAATTAAAAATCCTAACCAATAATGTAGGGAATAGCTATCCAACTGTTGTAGTCTTAGTTGTATGTTACTTCATACTTATAGTTATATCAATGTAAAACATTGTTTTCCCTTGTGTTTCTCATTCTTTCCCTGCCATGTCGTAAAATGTGGTGAAGCCATTGCTGTATTTGCTCCAAAGCAAATGTCGGCCTTTCTAGTTGCACTGAATTTTTTTAACGTTAAGTTGGCGTAAAAAAAATCAGTGCAAAAAAGAAACCCGGTAAAAAAAAGCCTGAAAACACGCCAAAATAAACCCAAACCCCTGCTTGGAGAGTGCCCAGCGTAAGCAACATGGCAATCCTATATGTCGCGGTAGAACCTCAATGCCCCGACCTTTCAAATTGAAATGAGTCAGGAAAGGCTGGGGGTGCATCAAGTCGTAGCCTGGTATCCAGTCTGATCGTGATTGGGGGTATTGGGGTGTTCAGGCAGGTTGTGTCTTCGGGGGCTCTAAGAGCTTCCCCCGCCCAGTGCAACAGACCGTCCCGGTAGGAGTGTTACGCTAATCAGAGACAGTATGCTGGGGGATTTTGTTCGTGGAGGGCTAATTAATCTCTCGTGAAATACACACCGGGAAACCTCTGTGAGGCGGGCGGGCCAGAGCTCTTACGGCCCCGAGCTCTTACAGCCCCGACCACGATCAGACTGGATACCAGGCTAATCAAGTCGGGATTGGAATACAAAATTCACTGAAGGGAACTCCCCTTCCCGTAAAGTTGCATGTAACGTTAGGTAATATTTTAGCCGAGATAAAAATAGATTGCATAGGAAATGCAATTGGATTAAGGAAATAACGTCACATAGCATGTATTTCAATCATGCATTTGGTACTAAATCTTCTTAATTGCAGGTTGTCTTCCACTCTTCCTGCATTGGTGATTTTAGTAACAGGAGAAATCATATGATCGGTCCTGCCGTTCCTTAGTATATTGAACTAGCCTGTCTACTACTGCAGCATACTTAGTAAATGAGAACAATAGACGCACAGGTGTTTCTTCTGAGGTACGATACTTGTACGTTTGTCAACGATCAGATATTTTGGGTTTGGAAGTAACTTCCCGGCGGTGTGTTTGGAGAAGTGATACTGATATAACAAGAAGGTCATGCGGGTTTGCATTACACACACGGTTATTTGTGTGCGTAGATTAGCACGACGTGCTATCAATTACTCCCTAGCGCGCGTAGAGGATGACGAAAGAGGATGATGCAATCGTATTTCTGTTACTTCTTTGTGCTACAGACCTGCCCGTACCACACAGCAGAGTGGCGCAGCGGGAGCGTGCTGGGCCCATAACCCAGAGGTCGGTGGATCGAAACCACCCTCTGCTAATTTTTATTTTGTCTTTTCATGTTTTCTCAGCTTTGATTATACCGGTACATTCACGAGTGGACGTTTCTGTGGCGAGCATGTGTACGAAACGGTCGGTGCAAAATGTAACATTATATTGGTTCTAGAACCATGTATAATTTTTAAAACATGCTTGGGGATGCTGAAGTAGTGTCAAATCTTCTTCTTTAGGTTTATGCATTGTGTATGGTGATACTATGGTCATTTCGGTTGAATTCTCTTCCCAAGCCCTGTTACACCTTTGTAAAACAATCCCCCCTAGCGGATATCTCCTAAAGTTCATCTGCACGCAGAACGTGATGCAAATGACAATAAACTACAGACAGGAACATCTAGCAAATGACACCTATGCCTATAGCTGGCCAATTTCGTATAAAGATATCAACTAATGAATTTGAGAAAACAATTCATTAAAGGAAGGAGAATATTCAGCTGTAGTCTTGAATCGTTTCCCACAAATCGTTAATATCATGTTGACATAATAACATGACGAAGTCATTTTTAACACTTGGGCATCTGGACTTTATTTCACAAAGTCAGAACACACACGTTGGAGGTATGTGCATAGCATTTCCGTTATTGTCATTGTTTGTTTCCGTGAGTGTGGTCTTTCATATTAGGATATATGAAATATGATTTACTATATCACTATTTTCACGATGACTTATAGGTCTACCGTAGGTCGATGACAAGTTGATGACGATTTCATGACTGTATCTATGACGTTAAATGTATGTATGGCACAGTTCTGTGGTGACGTCAGTTGCGCATGCCCATCAGTGGTTGTCCGTGTGCGCGGCATCCAGTGCCCGGATGTACTTCGGGTCTATCAGCAGAGGCATCAGCTTGTGTCTGAGGAGACAAATAAATAAAATAAATAATGAAACTTTATTGCATGTTCATTCCCCGGGGGGATAAATGCACGGATGTACAAAGTACAATGTACTAGAGAGTACTACAACAATAGTAATAAAGAAAGGCTAACATAAGGTCTAAGGTATACAATGCTAAAAAAGAAATATATATGAAGTGGTATAGATCTAAGTTCTAATGGCTTCTTCTCTCTTTTTGAAACATTTTGAAATATTCTTACATACTTCATTGATGGTGTCTATATTTGTACATGATATGATACATGTATATTTAAAAGTGTCTTCCTTTGATAATGTTTTACATTTTTTTGTCGAGCTTAATTGAACTGAACAGTGATTTACGTTCGTTGTCATATAATATAATATACAGTCAAGCATAAAATGCGATTCATCTTCAATACAAGAATTTTTACAGAATTTGCATAGTCTTGTAACGGTGTACGGCTACAAAAATGCACACACATCACATCTACACGTAAAATGAAAAAAAAAAGCCTGAGGCTATTGACAGGATCGTCCTGTCAACAGCAGGAAATACTGCACTGCTGACAGGATCGTCCTGTCAATAGCAGGAAATACTGCACTGCTGACAGGACGATCCTGTCAATAGCAGAAAATATTGCACTGCTGACAGGACGATCCTGTCAATAACAGGAAATACTGCATTGCTGACAGGATCGTCCTGTCAGCAGTGCCATTTTTGACACTGTTGACAGGATCGTCCTGTTGTAACAGTGGGGTTTATCCTCCGCTAACTGACCATGCTAAACGGTCGTGCGACCTTTTAGTGTAGTGGTTAGCGTTGGTGACCGCCAAGCGGACAACTCGGGTTCGATTCCCGGTTGTGACCTGCTCGCCCCTATCGGTTTTTACAGTGGTTCCCATGCCGGCCCTGTGAGTACTGGCACTGAGGATAAGTGTGGCAGCTCCAGGGATGTCGGACTCGGAAGATTCGAGGACGAATCTTGAAAGAAAAGGGGGAGTAGAGTAACAGTGGGGTTTATCCTCCGCTAACTGACCATGCTAAACGGTCGTGCGACCTTTTAGTGTAGTGGTTAGCGTTGGTGACCGCCAAGCGGACAACTCGGGTTCGATTCCCGGTTGTGACCTGCTCGCCCCTATCGGTTTTTACACTGTCAGCAGTGCCATTTTTGGCACTATTGACAGGATTTTTTAAATCTTCCATTTTGGGCTCTATTGACATGATTTCTTCTTTGTTTTCATTTTTTTAACCAGTCAGAAGGCATATGCTACTGTACTGCAGATTAGGCGTTTCACGATGGCGGCTATCATCACGTTAACAGAGTTATCAATACAGAGTACTCCAGCAGATATATGTCAAAACTAGACATGTTCAAAATATAAATACAAGCGAATTTCATGCATAAGCTGTCTGAAATACGAAGGCGGTTACATAAGATGAAGACAATAAAAAAGACAAAAAGAAGTTGATCTCTATCCATTATTTATTCTTTCAACAACTTCGAAATCAAATGGAACAAATTCCAGGAAAATACCGCTGGTGTGGCCGGTTCAGCTAGCCGGCCCGCTAACAACAACAGCCCCCTGGCGCGCGTATCCAGCTGGCCACCGAATTTTACCGGCCCCACTGGGCCCCCACACGTACCGGCAAAGGCACGCTGCAGGGGCCTGGCACGCTGGTTAGTGTTACTGGGGGCGGTTGTTGTGTTGCTGTTAGCACGCCTGACGGTTAACCCTGGGTGCCCCAGAGTCCGGCGTTTATTTGGCGATAGATTTCGGGAGAAACCGTATTTGTCCGGTACCATTATCCACTCAAACCCCTTCGTCCACGCGAAGCCCTCTAACGCCTCATTGCGCGAGGAGATAATTAGACCCAGTGTGCCAAGTAGGTCTGCCGGGAGTTATAATGGCTTCCCATGACTTTTACTTAGGAGATAGACACTCGCGCGCGGAGTGGCACCCAGGCCTGGTGGCACCCAGGCTAGCCCGACGGGTACCCGCCGGTGGACCGCTGTGTCATTCCCGCGGCGCCGGCTGTAACAGGCCTGGGCTGTAATGGCTAGCGCTTACTGTCGCCCCGACTAGCCTCTACCAGGCACCGTGGATCGCTGGAAAAATAATAGAAATTGGCCGAAATAAAGGGAATATATACCAAGGGAGTTAGCCGGCCAGAGAAGCTCCAATTGGCGACCTTGGTATATATTCCCTTTATTTCGGTCAATTTCTACTATTTTTCCAGCGATCCACGGTGCCTGGTAGAGGCTAGTCGGGGCGACAGGCACGCACTGCCGCCGCATTGCTTACGGGAGGCCAGGCGCGCGCTACCGAGCGGGGGATCAATGTATGCACGACTATCTGCAGGGGCCGCAGCGCAGGATCGTAAAAAAATGACCTAATAGCATACATAATAACACCTACATAAGACCTACACGAACCAGCGCCCACCCCAAAATTTCCAGTATGAAATAAAAATACCAAAATTTTACCGATCCTGTCAGCAGTGCAATATTTTCTGCTATTGACAGGACGATCCTGTCAGCAGTGCAATATTTTCTGCTATTGACAGGACGATCCTGTCAGCAGTGCAATATTTTCTGCTATTGACAGGACGATCCTGTCAGCAGTGCAATATTTTCTGCTATTGACAGGACGATCCTGTCAATAGCCACAGGCAAAAAAAAAAACAGTACACATTTTAACAAGAAACCAAGGTGAAATTAATTCAGCAATTAATTAATTAATTGAAGACACCAAGCTCTTCTACCTCTATTTGACTGATGTACATGTCCGTCAAATATAAAATTCAAGCACTACATTTTCTTACTAGTTATAGACATATCGTAATAGATATTAGGTATTTGTCTATTACATTTGGTAACGGGAGGGGGCACAAACCGTTGAACATTATATTGTTGTTTTGTGTGCGCACATGGCGTAGCAAAATAAGTTATGTAATGCTAGTAAAAAAGAATCGTGACCCTAGCATGTCCAGATCGCGAGATATCAAAACCGGAAGCACTTTCTGCAGTATCAACAAAAGCCGTCAGGGGGCCCAAAATCTAATCACTTCTAGGTCTCATCAAGACCTACCCACCTATCAAGTTTCATGACAATGCATATTAAGCTTCTTGAGTTATGCTGTTCACAAACGGACAGACGGACAAACGCTACTGAAAACATAACCTTCTTGGCGAAGGTAATAACACAGCAAATCGCCGGGATAGTAAACCGTCTTAACAATCGTGCTGTTGGCGAGTTACCTGATAGGGAGAAGTAGTAAGAGCACGATGGGGAAGATCATCTCCAGATAGGGCATGGCGGACAGCCCGAGGCCGCACAGCACGGCCAGCTGTAGCACCTGGCAGAACGTGAACAGGTGGATCTGCGCTAGCGGCACCCGTCGGATGTAGTGGTTGGGTGGGTACGCCGACTGTGGGAGGGACAGAGAACGGACTCAGAACTAGAGAGGCCGACATTTGCTTGGGAGGAAATACAGCATATTTCAGTCCATCTCCCTCAGACGCAAAAGATCGCAAAAGTGGACTATTCCAAACTTACCCCAGTGCAAAACTGGACGACTTACGTGCAACGAACGTGGAACGGGTATAGCACTTTTGGCTCCTTTTTTGGCTGAAAATAGCCATTAAAGTCCCCCAAATGAGTCATTTGGGAGTGTTGTATGCCAAATATGTGACGAATTTCAGATCATTTGGTTGTAATACCAGGGCTCAGGATCCAAAAATCCATTTTTTGTCGAAAAATGCCCAAAAAAACCTTCATAAAAATTTTCAAAGCCATGTATAAAAAAAAAAATGAAAAAAGGCATGGGGGTAATGGCTCACTCTACCTCCATGCCAATTTTCAAGTCATTTGGCTAAAAAATGATGGAGTTGAATCCATTTCACGAAATGGCAGGAGAAGGAGGAGGAGAAGAAGAAACATGAGAGAACACAATATATTTCATCCGTACCATGTGGTATGGACTGAAATATAATGAGGTTTGTTGTTTGATTAGGATCTCTACAGTCCAAGTATAGGTTTGGCCTTTGGCTTGGGCTTGGGGTGTTTTTTTATCGGGCTTTCTTTTTTGTATCGGTATCTTTTTTGTGCCGCCCTTGGCTGGCGTTTTGAATACTGTCTCTGAAATGGATACTGCCTGACCAATTTCATACTCTTTGCAGCCACCAAAAGATATGCTTGGAGATTATAGGATCTCCAATAGTGTTACAATTCACACTTTTTCTGGAGTCCGCAACAATACAAGAAATAAAAGGTAACTAAATTCAATATAAAATCGGTAGAAAGAAACTTAACAAAACCAAAGGTAAACTTAAAAGTGAGCAGGATCTAGGAGAGGTCAGAGGTCAACATAAAGTAACACATTCTGGGTGTTGCATGAAAGAAAATACAAAAGTAATAGCAGAATTATTATGATTATTAAGCACTCGCAATACACGGAGCAAATGATGTCGCTGGTCAGCAAGGAGGCAGAAGAAATGAAAAATGACATACATGTGATGAAAGCTCCTTGCTAAGAGGAAAGACGCCAGACACAATGTGTAGAGCATACGGCGAAAATGGAATCAGGACGACTCGGACCATTACCAACTCGACCCATCGCAAATTTGGTCAACTCGGCCCACCGCCAAATCAACCATGTTGACTATGAGATTTTTTGAAGTACCAAACCGCCGGTGCTTGGGCAATCAACATGATTTTAAAGAGACTGCGTTTTTTTTTGTTAGACAACTTCGAACTGTAGACTTTGAGTTTTTTTAAAGTCAAAACCCACCTGCGCTTGGGCAATCAACATGGCTTTAACCGAGACCGCAATTTTTGTTCGGTGTACCGGAGAGCGACTACTTTGCCCATCGATGTGCCTACCACATGATACTAGACGGATTCATTTGTTCACAGTATTTTAGTACAGTCTTACTTTGTTTCATGGCGATAATTATGTGGCTGTTGTACCGATTACTTCAGTAGAAATATTCTGTAATTGTAAACCTTCAATGAACGTCGTTTGTTGACTAAGGACTAGCGCTAGTTCTATTCGTTATACCTGTGGAAAAAGAAAGAAATTACATAAGTTGAATGAGCTTCTTATTGAAGAACGATGATATTTGTTTATTTTGAACATTGACATCGTGTGGGCGCGTGTTTCTGCCTAAATTACTGTCTCCGGCGTTGGGCCGAGTTGATCAGCGTAACACATAAAGAAGAGGTTTATTTACCTGTTCTGTCATGAGCAACACGAGTCTCTCGTAAAACTGATTCCCGCTGAATGAGATGAGAGCGAAGAAGATGAAGAGCCCGTTGAGGACAGGCTGGGTGATGTAGTTGAGAGGAGACGGGAGCAGCAGCAGCGAGAGACCGATGAGGGTGTGTGAGAGGATGGCGGCTAGCCGTGTCTCACGTACTCGTACCACACTAAACAGTCAAGCAAACAAACACGTTAAAATCTGATGTGTCCCGGATTGTACGCTATTTTAAACGCAAAAATGACCAAGTGTACATGCATAGACGGCGTTACCCAATAATAATCTCCAAGCAGAATGGATACTGTCTGGCCAATTTGATACCAGTACTGACTTTGCGGAAGTATATGACAAATTCGTACACTTCGAGGGATTTCTCTCCCTTTCCGTAGCGGCACCCCTTAGTGTCCAAGCAAGTTCATTTGGGGCCAGGTGACGATCAAATTGTCCACCCGAGTTACCGTTTGACCTAGCCTGGGTGCCAGACTGTTACCAGGGGCAGTCTAGCTCCTAAATTTTACCAAAGACACCCCCTTAGTTATAGGGACAAATTAGACCCCCATGTGCTGACTCTGGGATCGGGGCTTGTGGTTTCCCCAGCCGAAGGGAGTATCGTGTCGAGCCGGGGTCTGGCATCCAGGCTACAGTTGACCACGGAGGCAAATTTGATCGGTCCCTACCCTCTTCCCCGCCTGAATCTGCTTGTTGATTACATATGACTCACATGGAGTACAGCCTGCCCTGGTCCACGCGGTCCTCCACGTCAGCCAGTGTGCGCACGTGTAGAGGCGAGTGTGGCAGCGTGCCGTGCAGCCAGGGAAAACCGAACACGGACAGGATACCGTTAATGATGCCGATCACCAACAGGTCCAGGTTGTACGCAGAGCTCTTCTTCAACCTGAGGTCAAACACAGAGGCTACGTTTGGATGGGGTTTGAATTTATTGGAATACTTATGTCAGGAACAGATAGCTTTCTTATACACTATAACTCTTGCTCTCGCAGACCAAAGAAAGGTAGATTCAGTAGACGACAGTAAGTTTGTTGGCCTTTATGTTCACATGTTCCCATTAAGGCATCCAATGCAACTTCAGGGCGGCAAAACTGGGATTGTCAAAGTCAAATTTTCTGCTCATTCTTTTAATGTAGTAAGTTGAATGGATCCTATCCCATACCATACTGATATCTGTGAGGCAATAATGCGATGTCACCGGCGGAAAAAAAGTTGCTTTCAAAATTGTTTTGTGTTGTAGGCTGGTTCTATCTATTTATTGGTGGTACCAAGAAATAAACGGACTCCTCGCGTATTGAACTAATGACAAAAGTGTGTTAAGAAATGGTAGTAAATGTCAATATCAGAGAGATTTCCTGATCCAGAATATGTTGTTTTCTTGCTCTTTGTCTTGTAATTGCATTGGATGCCTTTACAGTAGCCAGAAAAAAGGGGTGAAATACTTGTTCGCTGGACTGTTGACGATAGCGGCTGTGATGTTCTGGTCCATGAAGAACAGGAGAGACAGACAGAAGCCCAGCCCCATGGCGGTGACGACAGCAGTGGACGTCAGACTTCCCAACTCTACCGGCACGAACAGGGGACCGGTCTGAACATCGAACCGCTTCACTGCACAGGAACACAGAAGAAGAACTTTATTGCGCAACAGATGTAGCGGGTACAACGTATGGCAAAATATACATACATAGTTTGTGGTGTTAACATACACATATGGTGGTGTTGAGAATATCTAACAGTTCTACTAACTGTAATAGGAATCTGGTCTGCTTCATAAACAACGTGTAACAAAAGAGAGACACTAATTATACTAATCTAACTCTATTAATACAATGTGAAATTGTGTCAGGAATTAATTACTGTACGTTTTCTCGTTTTGTCATTGAATTGTGTATAAATTGGCCTTCATAGGTGGAAATGTTGACAGGGCATGATAGTAACATATAAAATACATCTGTCTTTGTATGAGGTAGTGTTATATTGGTCTTACATGTAATATGTTGTAACAATTTTCGTCGGTTTTCATCATAGGTTGGGCAATCTATTATAAAATGTAATTCGTTTTCAACGCCTTTATGACACGTGGGACACAGTCTCTCATTGGCTGGTGTGTTACAGTGGCGACCTTTTTCAATTTGCAAAGAGTAGGCACTAATCCTAAGTTTTGCAATGCTGACATAGCCGGGGAAATGGTCAGTGCGTTAGCTAGAGCTATAATCTCCAAGCTGCCCTTTTGGTGGCTGTAAAGACAGTGTCAAATTGGCAAGGCGGTATCCATTTGCCAGACAACTATATTGGATACTGTCTGGCTAATGGATACAGCCTGCCCAATTTCATACTGTCTTTGCAGCCCCCAAAAGATCTGCTTGGAGATTAAACTAGAGCCAAGGATGCGGGAGTAGCGGAAAGAGTCTTCGTCAGTTGTAGTAGCGAAGAGTCTGACTCAGTTATAGTAGACAATGACCAATACTTACGGCTGACCATGCTGAACACATACACGCCCATGAAGGAGTTGAAGATGACAGAGACTGGCAAGGAGTAGTCGGCGAGCAGCTCGCGTTTGCTGGCATCAAGGTAAGGGCTGAGGCGGAGGGAAACAAAGACGGGATTCTAACAACAATCCAAAGGTTTATCAGCAACGACTAACTTCGTATCACCAACGAAGAGATGATCGGCTCAGACGTGCCTGTTCTGAAGACACCAGATGGACATAGAACACTCGTGAACCTTGTTTATCTACCTTGGCGGTGACAACTGTTTGGCATACTTCAGCCCACGTTAAGGCCATGTTAATTTGAATGTGTGGATGGCAGCTCTGGGAACCCCAAAACTGATGCAAACGTGTGAATAAAAAAGTTTGGCAAAAAAGTTGCCTTCATTATGAAATCTATGTGGCCACGAAAGTTGAACAAATGACTAGAGCATGGTATGGCGAATGCTAGTAACGGGTTCTTCGCATTCATTTTCATTTCTTCACATTTCTTCTTTTCCTTTGGAATTGATTTTGGCATTCTACGACATTAGTATCATTTTCCAACATTTTGTGGGTTTTGCAATTGACAGCATATATTTGCTCATTTTGCGCGCGCGTATGTCCTTCATATAATGAAATCAACATGGTCTACCTGATAATCAACTTGAAAATATCTTCGTATCAGTGAAGACAATTGAGAGAAAACGTACAAGTTACATGTGCGAACCTGTGAATACTGTTATACAGCATCATGCCCAAAGCCACCGTGCCCAGGAGCAGCAATAAGTGCAGCAAAGCCTTGTCCAGTTGACAGCCCGCCGCAGCCTCGCCGTAACCCTCGCCTTCAGACGTGGTCACGTTGTGGCCGCAGTCCGGACCGATGTTCTCCTGGAAATCTATCAAAACCATTTTTTTTTCGCAAGAAGCTCAAAATTGTTGGAGAAACACTTACAAATATGGGAGTTATAAATCCAGAATCGATGTGTTTCAAAATTGGTTTTTCCTCCAACAATGGTAGAGTGAAAAGTCATTGTTTCTGAGCGCGGGAAGGATCAACAGTCCCAGTCGATGGCTAGCAAGAAGGTTATGTTTTCAGAGGCGTCCGTGTGTGTGTGTGTGTGTGTGTTTCTGTATGTAAACACGATAACTTGAGAAGGCTTAAACATGGATTGTCTTAATATTTGGTACGTGGGTAGGTATTGATGAGACCTCGAAATGATTAGATTTTGAGCCGGCTTCTTATGGTACTGCAGCTGAACTTCCGGTTTCGACATCTCGTGATCTGGACATGTTAGGGTCACGAAGTTTGGATGGTGAATAGCTCTTTTGCTCAGGAAGAAGCGGCATTCGTTTAAACCCCCTAGCTGCTTGTTCTGGAACTGCAGGAGGGTTTCTTAAAAAATCTTCGAGGGCGGATAACTCATGAACCGGTAGACGGATTATCAAGATTTTTGGTATGTAGATAGCTGAAGTAATGCTTGACACAATTAGATGACAATTATGCAAATCAGGCTCTAATATGCATAATTAATGAGGACAGTTTACAAATCTGTTGATTTAGATAATAGGACTATTACTTGACATATGTGATATATGTAATTCAGAACGAGAGGACCTTCGGCAAATATTGATTATGTAAATGACCTAATTTGCATAATAAATGGGAAATTGTTGCAATTTCATAATGATAACTGCCATGAATTTAATACTTGACGTTACCGCATTTGGAAGTTAAGTGAAGGTGAAAATCATTGAACATGATTCATTCAAATCAGGACCTCATTTGTATAATTTAGGATGATATGATATAAATTTTGCTTTTCCGGTGAATCAGCCCAGCGCGAGAATAAGTATAACAGGCTCGCTGTATTTTAGGAGGCTTCTAAAAAGAATGTAAACAAACTGTGGTTTTTGTTCGGGTATCTTCGGCAGTTTTCCAACACGTTTTTTTTCGGCGCAACGTCATAATAAACCCAGGTAGGTTTATATAGCGAAAGAAAATGTGTAAAACAACGATGTTTAAAATAGTGAAAATCTTACATAATATCGTTATAAGATAAAATGGTCATTAGGTGGAGAATATGATCAACTGATATACTTTACGCAAATAAGGCTCTCATTTGCAAAATCAATGAGAAAATTTATAATTCGGAAGGTTTAAGATCATTTGGCGAAGGTATGATGTCATGGAACTCTTATTATTAATATGCTAAGGTCATGTGTGAGAGGCCGGCCGATGTTAACTATATGACCAGAACCTCGGAATGGACCTATAACATTATTACGTCACAGTTTGTTTACCTGTTCTAAAGAACATTTTAGAACGGTCAGTTAAAGAATAAAGATCATTTCAAAGTTTTCAAAGTAAGGTATGTCTGATTTTTGCTGCGTCTAGTTGTGTTGACACAGCATTACATGCCGTAATGGGTGATTTACTTGTGACAGTAGATGAAAGTAGTACTGTATAAAGGCCTTATATTAACGCAAACACACACTGCGCTACGCACCCCTGTACAATATAAACATCGATTGATCGGCATTCATTGCGGTAAACAAACTGTGACGTAATAATGTTATAGGTCCATTGTTACACCAAAGGATGCTAATACCAGTTAAACAATACAGATGTAGACTTGTTAAATGCTCTCAATATGGTACTGGTATGCTCGATACACACGCCAAGTCGCTATACCTAGCAAACCTACCGTGGATGAGACTCTCTAACGCCGCCGCTACTTTCGTGATGGCGATGAATAGAGAAAAGATCTCTTCGACACATCTAAAACGAAGGACACTGTGTTACATAGGCGGAAGTTACATGTGTTATTCACGAACGCATAACGTTCATGTCCATCAAATAAATAGATGGAAATGATGAGAATGTCTGTCATAGCAGGTAATATCCGACCAAGCTGTCAATATTAAAGTCAATCGTAAAATAATGTGAATGAACTGCAAAGTCGAAAGCAGGAAGCAAAATCATGCGGTTATACATAAGAGTGCACAGTCAAGGTGGGTAAATCAACTATGATGATTGACGGTTATTGCAGTCTGGTAGAATCCACCCCTCTGCGGGCTGAATAAATAGTAGAAATCGGCCTACTACGGAAAGTAACTAGTTAACTGGCCATTGGAATTAGCCGGCCATAGAGGGTCCAATTCGCCTGCACGGAAATAGGACCCTCTATGGCAGGCTAACTCCCCTGGCCAGTTACATTCCTTTTTAGGTCGATTTCTGCTTTTTATTCAGCCTGTAAAGCAGTCTGATGTCATCGAATAGAAATGGAGCAAATTCAGCATGACTTCACCACATTTCACGACATGGCAGAGAAAGAAGGAGAAATACATGGGAAAACAATTCTTTACATTGATATAACTATAGTATGAAGTGACAACAGCTGGATAGCTATCCTTTACATTATTGGTTGGGATTTTTGATTGCGTAATGCAAACTGTTGATTTTCAAGATAAAAAGAAGCGTTTGTGCCCCGCATTCCAATGCTGGAGCAGGAAAGTTTTGCATACCTACCAAAACACTTGAATAAAGTTCATACTGTCAATATGGCATGGCTTTGTACAGGTGTTAATTGAGTTGACCCAGTCAAATCCGAACAGCCAATTAGAAAAGAGAATAGAGGAAAGCTGCATTCCTATTGGTTGTCTGCTCTACATGCCATTCTGATGACTCATGCCCAAATGTGGTAACACCTGCTATAGTACATTTTCTATAACACAGCCAAAAAAGCGGAAATAAAACCATTCTAAAAGCCTGTATCACAAAAATGAAAAAAAAAAACGCCTGGGGGTATTTGCCCACTCTACTTTCATGCCGAATTTCATGTTATTTGGTCCAAAAATGAAGGAGTTCAATCAATTTAAAGAAATGGCAGGAGGAGAAGAAGAAACGTGAGTAAAAACAATATGACTTCACCACTATAGTGAAGTCATAACAAGAACTGCTATATACCTGGTGGTGTATTTCATGATGCGGTTGGCGCCCACCAGGGCGTACAGCAAGACGAAGCCGGAGCTCCACAGACCCACACAGCCGAACATCGGCAGGAAGTCCACGTGCAGACTGTGTGCTATCTCGTAGATAACTACGCAAATGAAAACACAAACAAGAAAATCAAGATCAACTTCCCACGCATGTAGCAATGGACCTATCACATTATTACGTCACGGTTTATTTACCTGTTCTAAAGAACTTTCTAGAACGGTCAGTTAAAGAATAAAGATCATTTCAAAGTTTTTAAAGTCAGGTATGTTTGATTTTTGCTGCGTCTAGTTTTGTTCACACAGCATTACATGCCGTAATTGGTGATTTAGTTGTGGCATTAGACGAAAGTAGTACTGTATTAAAAGCCTTATATTAAAGCTAACACTACACAAACACACACCGCACTACGCACCCTTGTACAATATTAAGTTCGATTGACCGGCATTCATTGTGGTAAACAAACTGTGACGTAACAATGTGATAGGTCCATTAGTCTGGTAGATACTTGGTTCTTGCTGTAAAAAGCAAATGTGACAAAATGGTCGACAGCTAGAATAACAACAGCAGCGGCAGAATCATCTGTGCATCATACAGCAATAGTCACCTACTCTGTGTGTACAGCGCCAGTGGTGCTGTCGTCTGTAGGATGATGAGCGGCTGTCCCGAGAACAGGGCGTAAATCAGCCCTCCTAACGTCTGGGACACGATCACCTTCCGCACATCTGATGGGGATAGATAGATGGTTGTTCTGTTACAAAGTCTATTGCAATCGGTAAAGTTAAGATAAGACGTACTCATATAATCAGTGACCTGACCACAATAAGGGCAAAGTTGCTTTCATGCCTTGCTGTTCTCGATCCACAAGTTTGCTGGTACATGCTGATATATCAGCTATTCTCTCACACGGAAAGCTTGGAAATAATGCGAGGCTGTGTTTGACCAAACGTTTGTGACGCACGTTTATCAAGGACTGCCGTATATCAAGAAGTGCCTGCACTCAAGGCTGAAGCTACTCTACTGACTTTGTACGCCTTGGTGAGGCAGCCTTTCTATCACTCCAGTGCCTTGGGCGAAGGTCGACAGGGGGATACTGCGCCTGCTGCTTTAATCCCCCCCCTTCCCCCCTCTTGCCGTACTTGCCCCCTCTTTTTTATGTAAACATCTTTTACATGTATTGTTACGGTCACAACCCGCCGTACGTGCTTCTGCGTGCTGTCTACGTGCAAAAACGTGGGCAAACGTAGGGCATCCGTGCGTGGTGAGTACAACCTCCGTACGGAATCCTACGGATTTGGGAGCACGCAGACACGCCGTAGAACTTTAAGTGCATGTAAAACTTTTTCTACGTGCGGTCTGCGGATTCACCACCCGTGCGTGCGAGTACGAGCGACGCGCGTGCCCCGTACGTGCCGTGCGGAAGAAGCACGTGTGAGTACCGCCTCGAGTTCCTTACGGTAAAGTTGCAATCGCACAGAGATCGTACGTTGTAAGCACGTACAACTCACTTACCACTTGCGCAACGTACGATGCACGCAACCGCTCACGGCCAGACGTAACGTGCAGACCACACTCTTACACCTTGCGCAACCGTGCGATTGACGTGCGAGTGACGTGCGTCGACGCCACTCCTTTCCTACGTTTTCAGAAAAAACGTAGGTGACGTAGCCTCCAAAAAACGTACGGACAAAAAGCACGTACGGCGGGTTGTGACCGTAGCTTTAGTCTTTATCTTATTTTGATGTGTCAAGTTGGCAGGAGTGGGCACTTGGACAGTAACCTGTAGGTAGCTTCACATATCCTTTTTCTGTCTCCTATGTCTGAGTCTAAGTATTAAAGGTCGAAAAGTTAAAAAAAAAAACGAAAATAGTTAAACACTCTAGACTTGTTGTTCTTGTCTTGTTCGTCTTCTTAATTTGTTTAGACCCTGATTAAAACCGGGAAATGTTGTTGAGTACTTCCTCACCTATCATTCCGTGGGTGTTTCTGCTGTTCAGGGTGCCGAACGCGATAGACGGGAGGAGACAGGCGAAGTACAGGAACACCGTGGCCGAGATCAGCTTATGCAGGGTGTGACGTCCCACAAGACCTGCAAACATGCAGCATGAACGGAATGTGAGATTTCGACACGGTTTTGACACACGCCATCTTTGTAGGACTTGATGATTGCGTTTTGTGAACAGTAGATGGTTTGTGAATTTAGTTTAAAAAAAAATCCTCTCTTCACACCACCATGATCGTCGTGGTGTACATTTTGATGTCACCTGCACCTTTTGGCGACGCCTCAGGATCGAGCCTAATGATATATTACTGTGTACAGTCTGCAAGAATTCTAGGAATTGTACAGGGATGTTTCCACGGGCATGCATAGTGTTTTAGCACAATAACTCAAGAAAGTATGGATACTTGGTCTATAGGTGGGTAGGTCTTGATGAGACCTAGAAAGGATTAGGTTTTAGGCCCCGTGGTGGCTTTTGTTGGTACTGCAGATACCACCACCGCCATGACAATGTATTTTTATGTTGCCAGGCTTGTTCAAGATAGAAACCAATGACTGTGTTTTGTCATCTAAACCATAGACCATACATTAGGGGCAATAGTAGGCAATATATAAGATATCTTACCATCTTTGAAGTCACTGAAGTACAACGGTGCCCGACGTTTGATGTCGTTCCAGACGCCTTTGCCGATGGGGCATCCTTGTCGGTCCTTCGTTATCAATAAACATAAGGTTTATTGCAAATACATGCTAATTGCAAGCACAAACAACATTTAAAAAAAGAAAATACAATGGTAAGACTACGTCCAACGTTATACAGCATTTTAAAACATGTGGTGCTTGTTTTGTTGGGTTTAACTTCTTCTTTTGAGGCAGTGGAAGACGAATTTACTCACTTCTTGTATATATATTTTTTTCTGGCAAAATCGTTATCTAAAAGAGGAGCCACATGGTGAAACAGCAAAGCGCCATTTCTGTCATGGGTTGACGTAAGAATGAAAATCAAAATGATATTCGAGAGCAACCATGATTTGAAAGATTATGGTGTGCTTAATTTTTTTTAAATTTATGATTGTTGTATTCTATTGTCATTTTAAACTTCTGCGTACGTGTAACATCAGAGGATATACATGTATTGAAAAACTGTTCCTCACAAACCTCCGGTTTCTCGAAAGAAGCCAAGGATTCTGAACTTCCGGTGTCCGCTGCGCACTCTTCAATCTCGCCGTCCTTGCAGTACTTCAGCTCCACCAGTCTCAGCAGGTTCATAAACTCCACCTTGTCACGGCAGTCCAGAAACTCCTGGCGGATCTCGGGCTCGTGTAGCAGCGTGGCGAAGGTGCGAGCAGTCTCCAGGGCGCTGCGGGTCGTTTTCTGGGACAAGTACCAAGTTCATTAGCCTGCGTTAAGCCCCAGTCACACATTCACGAATTTTTGTCCTCCCAAATACTAGCCGAACGCATCACTCACTATACTAGCCGAACGCATCAGTAGGTCGGCGCAAAGTCGACTGGTTTTCGTCGAATTCGGCTGGGACTCGACCATAGTTGGATGAATTCAGCTAGCTGTAAGTCAGCACAACACGAGCTAACCATATTGGAGTAAGTCAGAAACTTTCGGGGTGTGTTCAGGGGCCAAATTTGGCTCAAAATCAAAACTCGCCTGGTGTTTGGGGTCAATGTCGGGGGAAGGTCCTAAATGTGTTACAGTGGCTTTACCTTTTCATATCAATCATTGATTCATTGTTTGTTAAATAAGATAAATTGTTTTTTCTCGTGTATTCTATCGATCTCTCCAAAACACACATCCCTACCTCTTCACTAGGAGCCAGTACGATGATGATGAATCTGATCTCTTGACTGGTCTCTCCCAGGTTACGGGGGTGTTTCAGCCTGGCGATGGACACCTGGCGTTTCTTCAGGTTCTTCATACTGGCGCTGAGACACAAAAACACATGGAAAACTAGAAACATGGTAACATTTGTAAAGCAAATGCATAATGTTTACCTTCTCGTGTTCTGGTCTTACAAAGTACTGCTCTGTTTTATTACCTCCATGACATGTCATGGAAGTTATATTTTCAGTTGCGTTTGTCTGCCTGTCTGTCATTCTGTTGGTCAACAAGATAACTCAAGAACGCCTGGATAAATTGGTTTCATACTTGGTGTGTTGGTAGGGTGTGACAAAAACTGGAAATGATGAGATTTTGGGCCCACTAGTGGCTTTCCTTGGTACTGCAGCGTAACATCCGGTTTTGATATCTCGCGATCTGGACATGCTAGGGTCATGAATTTTTAATCGTTAGCTCTTGTGCTCGGGAAGAAGTCACGTGAGTTTGGGCCCCCTAGTGGCTTGTTCTGGAACTGCAGGACGGTTTGTTTTAAAATCTTCGAGAGAGAATAACTAAAAAACCGGTTGACGGATCGTCGTGATTTTTTAATGTAGGTAGCTGAGGTGATGTTTGGCGTAACTGAATTACAATTATGCAAATCAGGATCTAATTTGCCTAATTAATGAGGAAATTCTATAAATCTGTTCGATATTAGGGCTATGAAACACTTGTGACATGTAATTGAGAAAGACAGGAACACTGGCAAGTATTGATTATGTGAATGAAGACCTAATTTGCATATTTAATGTGAAATTGCAACAATTTTATTGTGGTAACTGCTGGGAATTTAATACTTGCCATAATTGAATGTTCAGTGAACATCACTAAACGTAATTTATTCAAATCAGGACCTCATTTGAATAATTTATGAGGTAAAGCTAGAATAGCCTTATTTCTTAAGATAATCCTGTCATTGGGTGGAGAATATGATGAACTGATACGATATATTATATGCAAATGAGGCTGTTATAATTTGCATAATCACCGTGAAAAAAATTACCATTAGTCAGTTTGGACGGTTAACATGATTTGGCAAAGGTATGTCAGAGGTCGTGCTTGCATATAACCTACAATATCATACGTTGTCCATGCCAAATGATAAGGATTTCACCAGTGTGTTGCATGTTACTAGGTTGGGGCCATGTGAATAATTTGCATAAAAATTTTGCTAATGAGCAGGATTGTAAATGTAAGCCATTTACATTTGGTCATCACCATGCATAGAATCTAAGATTTACAAAAGCACTTCATGGAGATATGAGGTCGCCGAACTCTATATAGTTGTTACTCAAACACATTTATAACTATATGGCACTAGTAACCCGTCTCTTGCTACACCATGTAATTCAACACCACAAGGTGTCTGGTACAAAACTAGTTACCATGGTGACAGCTGTCTGGTCCAAGTTACTGACCTTATGCGTTTGGGACTGAAGAAGAAAATTAGCAAAAACATTTTTTTCTTCTGCGAAGGTAACATAATCATATAGCATGGAGACGACGCGTGGCACTTCTAATCAAGACAGTACAGTGTTGATTTTATTATATGGATGACGTCCTCTTGGAACCCCCAAAACTCATGCGAGTGTGCGAATAAAAAAGTTTGGAAAAAAAGTTGCCTTCATCATGAAATCTACGCGGTCATGAAGGTTGAACAAATGACGCAACACACAGAGTATGGTATGGTGATTAACAGACTCTTCATTTTCATTTCTTTGCATTTTCCTCTTTCCTTTGGAATTGATTTTGGCATTCTACGACATTTGTATCGTTTTCCAATATGTTTTTTTACAATTTACAGGATATATGTGCTCATTATGTTTACCGAAGGAAAACATATTGTTTTTGCTCCATTTCCATTTCTTCTCCAAACACTAACCTCTGACCTGGCCAATGGCCTCTTTTGTTTACGTCTGTCACCATAGTAACTGGTGTCGGGTTACACAATGTGACACACACACACAATGTGGCAATTTCATTGTAGGCATTTAGACTCCTGTCACCATATACATGTATGTGAATGTGTTTGAGTAAGAATTAACAGAGCAGACCATATCCGAAGGTAAACATTATGCATTTGCTTTGCAAATGTTACTTTTCTAGTTTTGCAACTGCTTTGTACAATTTACAGTATGGTCGAAACCTTTTTCGGGGAACGGACGAAAAATCATTCGTGCGCGGATGTCATCCATATAGTAAAATCAACGTCATGGCCTTATGATTAGTTTTCAAGATGTTCTATAGAAATTTGTGCAAGCAAAGCAAAGAGGTACACTTACAAGGCGCATATCCAACTCTGGTCGTAATCCACACTCCCGTATTCCGTCTGACTGGTCCCCTGCACTGTTCTGTTGAAATGGTGAACTGTAAATGAAAATGTTTCAGCTGAGTGCCTTCAAAAAAGGATGGGTCTATGTAAATCTAGGACAAGAGGTGGAAAGGCGATCTTGTGATTAGAGTTGTTGACTCGACATCAGAAGGTTCTGGGTTCGAATCCCTGTTCTACCCTTGGGATTCACTAACCACCTAGGTTCCTCAGTTGACTCACTACCAGCCTTGCTGCTGCCTGGCTGCCCCGTCATGCACTTTTGCATCCCCAATAAATGAGAGGGTGAAAGTGGGTGCCTGGCTTCGGTTGGGGACATCCTATCGGACAGGACGTAAATCGGGCCCCGTGTTTCAGGAGATAGAGCGACATCTTGAGCATGTTAAAGATCCCACCACACTCATCGAAAAGAGCCGGGGCCCTTCCCGGTGTGAGTCTGGTCTCAGTGTTGACATATATGCATCATGAAGAGATGAAAGTCACCTTTATGTCAATTTCTTCCACATGTTATGAATCATGATCATAAATAGATAAAGAGCCTCACGTGCATATATTCGCCTACGTACGTACGTTATCATTTCTGTGCTAACAGTTTGTTACACACCTGAATAAAAGGTTGCATATTTCTGCCAAACACGTATTGTCTACGGTTGATAGTTGACCCTGGACTGACTATCATTCATAGCCCTGGGTTTAAAGCAAAATTACATTTTACGTAGAGCAAAGTATATAATTATAAAGAGCTTCACGAGCACATATTCGCCTCTACTTCCAACTCTAACGTCAGTAGTTTCGTACCAGAGTCGTGTGTGAAGAGAGCGGACAGTGCCTCCTCTGGGCTACAGTCAGGCTCCTCCCTCAGAAGTCCCTCCACCATTCTCACCACGATACCAAACAGACTGGTCTCCGTGATGTCCAGGTCCAGCGACACCATACTGAAGAAACTGTCCACGTCTCTGCTGGCTTCGTACTCATGGCGGAAATCTTTCTTTGGGATTTTCTGGGATGAAAACGAACATGATCAAAAATCAAACTTTATTGCACAACAAGGAGGTACAATGTATGGCAAACTCTTCAGACGTACTACATGTCAAACCGATACATCCTCTAAGGTCTATAGTAATGTTGATGCATATGTATCAAGACTAACACTACAATATTCCATATAAGACTAGAAAGGCCGACATTTGCTTGGGAGCAAATACAGCATATTTTAGTCCATCTCCCTCCCACGCAAAAGTGAACTATTCCAAACTTACCCCAGTGCAAAACTGGCAAAGGTTCTCAAATAAATGAATTAAATAGTAACTATATGAGAACAAAGATGCAAGAACAAGTACTTTGAATCTCGAAAGCTTTACTAGTCTTATTACAGGTATGCAAATACTAACAATGATGAGATTTGATACATTTTGAAGGTCTTAGGCACATAAAATTGAATTTGTGGGTCATTACGCACCACTTAGGTGCAATGTGACCTCAGGTAACCCGCAATGGAACACGTGTTCCATGGATGGAACCAGCCATTCTTTAGATAGAACATGGAACGGGTTCAGCACTTTTGGCCCTTTTTTGCTGAAAATAGCCATTAAAGTCCCCCAAATGAGTCATTTGGAAGTGGTGTATGCCAAATATGTGACTACTATTCTGTAGACACACGTTCAAGGTACCCTTATACCGAATTTCAGATCATTTGGTTGTAATACCAGGGCTCAGGATCCAAAAATCCATTTTTGTCGAAAAATGCCCCAAAAAACCTTCATAAAAATTTTTCAAAGGCATGTTTCAAAAAAATGAAAAAAACGTCTGGGGGTATTTGCCCACTCTACCTCCATGCCAAATTTCAGGTCATTTGGCTGAATGATGGCTGAGTTGAATCCCTTTGACTGTTTGGCAGGAGAAGAAGGAGGAGGAGGAGAAACATGAGGGAACACAATATATTTCATCCATACCATGGTATGGACTGAAATATAACAATACATGGAACATGGATTACATAATGCAAAGGAGATCTATGTAACTACAGAGTACAGACTAGGCTCTATGCTATTTTGAGTAACTGATACAGCATCATATATTGTATGAAATATGGGTTTATATGATAATGTACATCATTGTATGATTTTGTTTAGTAAAGCATTAGATGTAAACTAGAAAGGCCGACATTTGCTTTGGAGCAAAAACAGCATGGCTTCACCCACATTTTACGACAGGTTTTCACCGATTTACAACCGAAGAGGCTCCTTTTCCTGGCCAATACTTGTAAAAAGGCAAAGTAATTATTCCTATTATAAGTATGTGTTCATTTAACAGTAAAGTAATTAAGGAAACAACCAATCAGCAAACAGGGTTGCACCTGCTGCCCATATTTGGGCATTGAGCTCCTGGCCCAAATAATGCGTTAATCCAATTAAACCCAGCACCCAATCAGCAAGAAGATAACAACTGCCCTACGATCTCAAAAGCTGCATGCCATTGGCGGTTGGTCTCAGTGCATTCCTTACTGATGATGTCATGCTATACAGTAAGTATACTTGATAATTTCGTATAGAAAACAGTCAAAAGTCCCAAATTATACAATTCTAAAGGGGTGCATGCCAAGAGTTATAATGGGTGTTTGTTGGTAGATATATAAAGCATACCCATACCGATTTTCAGATGATTTGGGTATAATACCAGGTCTCCAGGACCCCAAATGTACAGATTTTGTCGGAAAATGATAATCAGACGAGTGTAATGTATCGATCTGAACCGTGAGCCTACCTCATGAGTTGCAAACATCAAAGTTATCTCGTCCTTACTGATCCGATCCGAGGCATCTGCGTCAAACAAAAATCATTCGTCACATGTTAAGCTGGTGTGTTACGCCGAAGGGCCGGCTATACAGATACAGATACTAGTAAGGAAAGCGAGAAGAAACTCAAGAATCAGCAAAGATAAAAAAAATCGTTTTTTTATTTTCTTTTGAGGCAAGGACACAGACTCAGTCATACTAACAATATGATGAACTTTTCTGCACAAAATATGAAAGGCGTTTGATATGTCAATGGTTAAGATTTTACGGTAACGAAAGTACGTACCATCATCTTCACTGTCTAAGGTGTAAGTCGAGAAGGCCAGCGATTCCCGCTGACCGTCCGTCATGTCCGTTAGGGCATTTCCGACTCTCCTTTTCCTCAGCTGAATAGGTAATGTTCCAGGGCGTTATTGAATGAATGGATGGATGAATGAATGAATGAATGAATGAATGAATGAATGAATGAATGAATGAATGAATGAATGAATGAATGATTTATTCAATATAAGAATCTCTCTCAGCCTAATTTGCTGACTTGCGGGTTCCTTACCAAATATACAAAAGTAACATTCTTTCCGTCAGCACTGTAAACATAGAGACTTTGGGCAGCTTTTAAACCTAAAACGAACATGTGGCAGCATGAATACAACTGTATAAAAGGAAATCATTAAGTAAATGACTTGACTTGACTTATTTGGATCCACACTTAGCTTACAATAAATGTAGCTATTCTTCCTGTGGCCCTTCAAGACACACATACTGATACAACTTTAAAAAAAAATATTTGTTCACACATTTAAAAGACGTATTATATCAGCCCTATATTGACGACACAGTTCCTTCCTGTGACGATGACAAAAAACTTAACTGACCAGATATGATATAGGTGGATCGATCTGTATCTGTTTGTTCAGCATTTAACAGTTCTGAGTTTGTGTGAGCGTTCCTTGTGTTCTTGCCGTGATCATGCCGGTCATCTTTGGAAGAGTTCAGGGCTATTCATTTCCATCGTCTTACTTACCTTTTTTTTCTTTTCTTACTTTTTTCCATCGTCAAGTGTCAAAAGACAAGTCAAGTGTCCTGCTGACCATGCATTTATTGACAGTTGGACACCAAACGAGACGTTGTGCTAATTCTGTGTAGGTAACTAATATAGTTACGTTTTACTTTCGTACCGTTTTCCTCCGTAGTTCGTTGTCCGACCCGAAACCGAGAAAGGAAACTGTGGATGGTGTGTTGTGTAGAGGTCTTGGACGACTTGAAATTGTAGGCGCTTCTCCGTCTTCTGGACCAGGCGTGTCTTCTACTCTGAGAGACTCTCCTGTCCCTGGGGGTTGTTCTAGATATTCGGAGACAGTCAGAATCATAATCAAACATATATCCTCACGATTTTAAAAAATCACTATTCAAAATACAACATAGCATTACATGATTACACGTATCTATATCTATCTACGAAGGTTGACAATCATTCATGACAATGAAACAACTTTCAACAATGATTACAGTTAAAACTTCAGATACAACACAAAAAGCTATTAATCCCATCAAAAAAAGACAAGAGGATACAACAGCAAGGCACCGCTCTAAATTGTTTGGGGAAGGAATGACTTACAGTGAAGAAGGAAGAACAGTACCGGTATTTACATTCGCACTCAATTACATTGTACATAGTCGACTGGACAAAATAGGTTCGGATACACTCATATCCCGGCCCGTATCTTATCGTATTCTCAGTAAGAATACGCGCATATACGAGCGGATGACAGAATCTGGACAGTGTGCCCAGATTCCGTGTCATCCGCTCGTGCATGTTCGTATTTTTAACGGAATACGACAAGATACGGGCTGAGATACAAACTAAGTTTAGCCAGTGGTGAATGTTAGAAGTACCTGTCCGATCGTCGTTACGGCTTTGGGCGCCGATGGCTGGAAGGGGAGGACGGTCTAGTGAAGTCACCGTAATCCGTACTGGACCAGCAGGGTCTTCTTCAACCTCCGATGGATCCATCATATGTATGACACTGCTACTTCAGGTTTCTTTATCTTGTCGTCTATCAAGCCCTTCTACTAAGGTGATGTTCAGGCACACCAAGTTTGGCTACGGATGTTAATCCTGCCTTGAAGTTACATCTTACTTCTTAGGATGAAACTTAGCGACTGTTCTGAAATTTTCTGTTTACAGTAGTGATGACCCTTGTGACGAAGCCCCTATGTAACAGCCGTTGTTCCTTATGACGTTGAATGTTCGAGCAGAACAAAGAACAAAGGAACACCTCTGATCTAAAAGAAACCTGACGTCATCATTGACGACGCACCAGGGACTTCTTGGCTTATTTCGTTGGAAAATTAATACTTTATACTAATGTGGTGAGTAGAGTGGCTGAAAGTAAATTTGTTTTTCTTTCACAGGTGGTCAAGAAAGTATCCTTCGGGGATACCGCACGACATTGAAATGACGATGAAATTGATTGGGTTGGAAAATCCATTGGGTGAAAGTGTAAAGTAATGCTTATGACAGATCACACAAGAGATAAACCTTTAAGTCATCGCCAACTTTTATTTCTTATGCTAGTGGCCGTACAGTTGCAATATGCACGTTGCATGATAAGGGATTGCCCGTATTATTGCCGTTGTATGATGTAGAAAGAGGCTTCGTACCCCTTTATAGAAATGGGCGATTCCACGACCTTTGCCCTACTAACCCACATGTGACCGCCAGGTGACTGACCAGTAGATAGAATCACTTGCACTTCCTTGTTGTCGCCCGTACGTGCATACTCTAGCAGTATAAAAGGAGATTGTGGTCTCACAGGAATCAAAACTTGTGGAGAAAGAACAGTTTGTATCGTCAAACACACTTAAGGTAACGTTTAATATCTCACATGTTCAGGGCTGCTTGTGAGCTTCTGCTAACGGGTTACGTTGCATAATCATGAGATTTTCGGCTGTGACTTTTGATATGAGAGCAAGGAGATTTAGATTTTAAACCTCCTTCAATGGTGAGAGCTAGTGATTATGTCCAAAGAAGTTGAATATAAATGCCAGTCTGTGTGTGTGGCCTTATTACTTAATGACTTGACGAATTGCTTAATCTTAATGACTTCACGGCTGTGTAGAAAGAGTAGAAATTTACCAAGAGAGAGAAGATGCCGGGAAGTTGGACCGCTAGAGAGTCCAAATTCCACCCGGGTGCGGCAGACTGTACTCTCTAGCAGTCCCCTGGCATGTGTGTTTTTTCTCTATTTGGCCAATTTCTGCTCTTTTCAGCCTGGTAGAGGCTTAAGTGTCTTGCCTCCAGGAGTTTCTGGGACGCCCCCCCCCCCTGCC